AGCTAGTGACTATGACTTATCGTTGTGATATTTACAACCTACTATGTTTGAGAACATGAGAAAGAGAGGGATACCGTGAGAAAGGAGGCTAGAGAAAGGGAAATTTTAGTAATGCACTGTCTTTAAAAGCTACTGTATATCTGTTTCTAACAAAACTAGAACAGAGAAACCAGATCTCCTGAGGAGAGAGCATTTTATTATTGGCTTTCTGAAAAACCAGACCATAAGCATGGAAATAACTGAATTTCTAGTTGAAGATTCTACAGATTATTGTTTTTTGGCTAAGTGAAATCAGACTCCATGCAAACAGATGCAGCTAAATCAGAGTAAAATGGGAAAACGTTAATTTATGGGTTCTTGTTGTTTCACATAACAACAGAGACATGAGAGTCAAAGAGAAAAGAGCCGAAGTTGGTGGGAGACAAAGATCATAAGAGGGCATTATAACGGGTGTGTGTCTGATTGTGTGTGTTTGAGTGCATCAGTGGGGTGAGCAGGTTCATCGGGTCCCATGTTGGGCAGGAGGGTTGGAAGTGTTCGGGTGCTAGAATCCTATATCAGAGCCAGTGCTGACCATGGGTCTATATCAAGAGTCGGCTAGAGTTTCAGCCCTGCGCGGAGGATTATTCTGAGAAAGACGGGTTCTAGCCAGCCTGAAATAACTGATCCAAACTTGCTTTGACTTATGAACTCTAATGAAGAACAGAGAGGGGTGCAGGAAATACGAAAGGAGATGCACCTCCTGCCCCTGTCAGGAAGTTAAAAGAGGTGCTGTGAAACAGGAGAGAGTGTCTAGGGAGCATTCTGGGAAAGAGTGGAGAAAAGGAAAATGTCAACATGCCAAACTGTGCAGCCCTGTGCACCGGCCACGCATTCCTGATTCTTGTAGAACAGGATAAACTTTGGGACACTGCTGCATAACCCATGGATAGAAATCTTCTATGTTTAGTTGGTGTCATATAGTCACTCAGGTTGCTTTGATAATGAAGAAAGGTTGGAGCCAGGACACTAAACCCTAGGTGAATATTGTTATAAACAGGTCAGACCAGTGTCTGGGTAGACACTATAAGTACTCCACGAGTTATGTAAAGAGACTGTGTTAATTCATCAGTACAAAGCTGTCAAAAGCTCAGGCGAGCGTTTCCATTTTCAGAGCCTTCACTCAAATATTCCGCATGTGGTATATGGAGTCTGTATGTGTGTTCATGTGCTTGTGCAAAAGTGTTTTATAAGATGTACTCTCTGCATACATATATATAGGTGGTCCGTCAGGACATGTGATGTGCTTCCCTTACATAACTGTGGATAAAGAGGCATAAAGACAGAGATGTGCCTGTACACCATGCCAGAGAAAATTTCTGTTGGTTGGAAATTTATGAAGCTTGTAAGATGTCCTTTATCCCTGGCATATTAGCTTACTTGTAATAGGAAGCAGTTGGTTAAAACAGCTGTATCATTTCTTCTGCTGTGTCCAGGTAGTATATAAAATCAGCTTTGGCAGAGCTTGGCCACCATTTAAGTCTGTATGGTGAAGCTTATAGGAGCTACCATTTTTGGATCTTGATCTGTGATAAAAGTCTTATTTTTGTGGCAAAGATTCATGCTAGAAACCTATTGAGAGATCTGGGTCCATATTGACATGATAGCATCACAGTTCTTTGTCCTGTTCTTCTGTAGTGAAGGTGCTCTGGACTGAGATTATTGCGAATGCTGCCAGTGTTTTTCCAATCTTTTATTATGAATCTGCGTAAAATTGCAGCCTCAGTTTCCTGTTATTAGCTAACAGGAGTGACACTCTGTGTGGTCTTCTGCTGCTATAACACAGATGCTCTTCTGCATACCTTGACTGTAATGAGTTACTGTTAGTCTTCCTATCAGCTCAAAATATGCTCACCATTTGCCTCTGACGTCTGACATCAACGAGACACACTTTTTTGTCCAGAGAACTGCCTCACTGGATATTTTCTCCTTTTCAGACTTTTTTCTGTAAACCCTAGAGAAGATTACTGGGAAAATCCCAGCATATCATCAGTTTCTGAAATATTCAGACCAGCATGATTGCCACCAATAAGAGTTGTGGTCAGTGAGCATATGTCACTAGAATAAAATGCGGCGTTTCTACATAATTGTGAGCCAATTACTGGCAGATGAGTGTATGTGTATTTCCATTTAAGGTTTTTAATAATGTGGCACTACTTTGGATAAACCTTTAAAATCTTGATTTCACACATTAAACATATCTTAGTTGTATTCTCTCATTTCTGGTGGCAGTGAAATAGACTTTGATTTCATTCAGCAACACTTTCAGGTGAAATCTATCCCACTCACAGACAGAAAGTTAACCAAACTGACCTGTGACTGTTGGAAGCACAATGAGAATGACCACATGAAGTTTTTGTATACTACATATGAATGCTGCAATAATGTTTGTGTTCAATAACAGTCCAATTTTTATTAAAAGGTACTTTTTAAGTTGAAATCTTCAGAGCCGGTGCAGCATGATTGAAATAAACAATACTTTGCACAAAAGGAAACCAAAGCATATACATTGTTGGAAGATGGCGTTCCAAACTGATTTTTCAGATTGTTTTTAGATTTGGCTAATTACCATTTGAACTACACAACTACATACCAAAGCATTTCAATGGAAAAAGCATTGCAAGCTCTTCAGATCACTGTTAACATTTTGAAAAAGTTAAAAAATAAACAAATATTAAAACATTTTAATGTGACCCACATTGTACACTATACACTGTTCACATTCTTCTCCAGTGAGATTAAAAACCCTATATTAATATGCTCTGAGGAAGGCGTTTCGTTAAGACTTGTCTGCCATCTCCTGGTAAAAAAGAGGCGCTGCATTCAATTTATAGCTTCTCTACCGCCATTAGTTCCGGACCAAGTGCTTGACACTGTAGTAAGAAATTAAAGTGGCAGAAAAATAAACAGAAATAATGTGCTTATCTATTTCTGCACGTTTTTTGTTTGTTTGTTTTTTGTTCAAATTGCAGGCTCATTGTTATTGTGCCAAGGCCAGTACTACACCATATTAACTTGAAAAGGGAACCAATTTTGACAGGATTTGGCTAAAGTCACTTTGCTGTTCCTTTGGAACAACCCCCCCCCCCCCCCCAAACAAAACAACAACAACAACAACAAAAAAAACTGCTTGCACTCATACACTTTATCTTTTTAATATTTCAGAGGCCAAACAGGAGACAAAGAGGAGACCTTTTCTCCAGGTGCTTAAGTGCATCAGTGAACTCACCAGAACAGCTGAATGTAAGCATGGAATATCCTCAACACACTTCCACTTGTTTCAGAACTGCAGAGCAGAGTGATGCTTTAAAAGTTGCTCAACGACCACTATTTTAGTTTCAAGGACACATGAAGAATACACCTCAAAGTCTGGGAAAGAAGGAAAGTGGACATCTTTAGGTTTGTGAAGACGCGTCACCTCTCATCTAAGAAGCGTCTTCAGTTCTGAAAATAAAGGATGGAGAGACCCAGGTATTTAACCCCTAGCGCCTAGTGGGATTTCTCTCCTTTGGAAGTAATTGAATTCTCACATGAGCCAAGGTGTGAAAAAATGCACAGGTCAATACCATCAATGGCGGTTAAGGGTTAAAACACTGAGACCTCACCCCACCCTGTTGAGGTCACCTGAGGCAAGGTGTGAGGGAGGGTTAAAGCGCCAGGGAGGTGATATCAAAACTGCATTGTAGGTGGCTGATAGCTGGTGTTGTAAGCCACCACTCCTGTTCACCAATGGCTGTTCACAGTGGACATAAATGACCTCCTGCATTCCTCTTTCAAACCATCTGTCTTCTTGGTCTAAAATGTGGACATTCTCATCCTCAAAGAGTGACCTTTCTCCTTTAAGTGATGTACAGCTTGGGTCAACTGTACTAGGGTTTCAAGACATAGGTCTCTCCAGCCTCTTAGATGATGTTTCCACTAACTTAAAGAAGTCCAGCTTCCTTTTTAAAAAAAAAAGCTGTTAAGACTACCTTGACATGGACAACTGAGAACCTACACAGACTGACCTGCAGAGGCCCATCTGCTCAGTTTCCTCCTCAGTCATGCTGGTTACCATAAGCCTTCCCCTATCCTAACATTTTTTGTAATCATTTCTTTTCCACAGTTATTGTGCTGTCTTATTCCCTTGCAGATTAGCAACACAATGTATCCCTCTGAAATGCAACAATGCTGCAGTGATTTAGGCTCAGAGACAGCCTACTGTAAAGGTACCACAGTTTAATTAAAACGTACGGACCAAAACACCATGTTATATCTGTATCTTGTGTTGAAAGTGGAAATTTTATATCCTTGAGGAAGTTTTCATTTAATAACTAGAATGTAAAAATGATAGGTATTAAAGTGATTGCACAGGCTATTGTTAGCATTCAATGCTGCTTTTAGGCTAATTAATAAGGCTTCATTTTTTGACAGTGACAATATTAGAAGTTGCATGGAAAATATTTTATATACTGCTGCCCTTTGACATACATACAGAAAAAAGACAAAGCAAGATGTGTGTGTGTGTGTGTATGTATGTGTGTGTACAATCCTGGTTGCTCTGTAACTTCAATACTTTCATGCAGATCTGGGTTCTAATTCGCCAATATCGTACCTTTCTCAAAACAAATCAATGTGAAAGTAGGAACAGCAGACTTAAAGGCACAAAAGCTCTAGCGCTGAGGTCACCTATAGCACTTTGGTCCTTCTGGTCAGAGATTAGTGTGTCTATTTTCGTCCCTGTTAGACTGCTAATAAACTCTGGAGGGGGGTCTCTTGCCTGAAAGACTGGCAATTAAAACCTGCGTAACGCTTCATACTGTCACACAGGAAACGCACAATAAAAATGCAGGCTACTCTTAGATTATCTTTTGGCAAAGTAAGTCTCTGTTCTTGTAAACGCCTGTGCGTGTGCCCTCTCCTGGCCGACGCTCCAGTCTGTTGTATGAATCCAGCCGTTTCCTCTGGCGCACTTCTCCTTTAAGCGCCGAAAAAAAGCCCCGGCCATATGACGTCAGAAGCTAAACCTGCTGGGTGTCTGTCCGTTGGAAAGTGAAGTGTGTTTGTCGTGCTATTGCTATCGGAGTTTTCTCTCCCTGTGTTGCCTGTCTTTCGTGAAGTGTTTCTGTTATTTTTGTTTTTACTTCCCTCGAGAGGTTTCACGGTATCGACTGGAAAAAAAACTCTGCCACTGTTGCCGCCTTAGAGGATGTTTTAGAAAAGTTCCTGAAGCTTTCTTTGAGGAAACCGGTGGACGGCGGACACCACCGGAGATGGATAAGCTAACCGATAGCTGAGTTGTTAGCTGAGAATCACAGAAAAGACTCGAGCTACGATGCTAATAGCTAGCTAGCTAACTTGGCTTTTTACCGGCTAACCGAGCGACTTTGTGAACCCGTATCGTTAGAACTACTGCCAGATTTTCCTCGGGCCTGGACGCGACGCGGTGAGCAGTTTGTCAGAGGCCAGCTAACTCAGGAAGACTCGGTCTCTGTATTGAGAACAGTATTGTTGAGGGGAGGCTGCTTACCTCTCAGCCCCGAACTATGAACATGCTATCAAACGCACAGAACCAACCACTGTTTCCCAACCCGGCGGGGCAGCAGAACCCAGCCGGGCAACAGAACCCTTCGGGCCAGTTCCACTCCTTCCAGCCCAGACCCACCTTACAGATCAGGAAGAACGCAATCACTGACGAATACAAGGTGACCAGCCAGGTGTTGGGGTTGGGAATCAATGGAAAAGTGCTCGAAATAGTACAGAAGAGCACTGGCGACAAGTATGCCCTAAAGGTAGGTCATATCTGTAATGAAAGCAACACAATTTTGTCCAGCTATGAGTTCATGCAGTGGTCACTATTTTGCAATGAAGACTTTTAAAGTTCAATTCTACACCACTGGACGCTTTAATAGGCAAGCAGAGTCAATCAGAGCAGTTCATTTTTATCCCACAGTGTCATTTTTAGACTTATTATTTAGGCATATTTCTCCTTGTTTGTTGTCCTGCAAAGTATTAAATTTAGCTAGCAGCCTGCTGTTTAGATAAAACATATCAAGACCTCAAACTTTCAGGAAATTCGACTTTCAGCGTGCTTACATTTTACAGAGCACCAAATTTCTGTTTTTTTTTTGTCTTCCTTTTCATTGATGTGGCAATGTTGGTAAAAGTGTATCCACGAATTACATTTTTGATCACCTTTGGCAATAATTTCTTACCCTAAAACATGTCCCGATGTTGTCCAACGGGTGATTTTTAACTCCTATTATTAGAACATGTAACTTCATCATAATAAGCTGGTGCACAGTGAACCTAGAGTAACTTATAAGCAAATAATGAATTGATACACAACAGGTATCTCTAGTTCAAGTGTGCAGTGCTGCTTCTTGTGACTGGAGGTTGCTATGTGATGTTAAAGCTTTTTCTCAGTTGTGTGCGTTTTTGTTTTTTTTGTTTGTTTGTTTGTTTTTTTTTTATTTCACATTGTCATTGTTTTATTTGTCACCCACTTTCACCACGTAGAGTAACAAGGTAAGAATGTCATACGTAGCTTTAAAAAAAAAGCGTGTATGGGTTGGGGCTGGTGGTTGTTAGGGTTGTGGCTGTAAAGTGACACTGCAGTATCAGGATCTACCTCTTAAGAGATCATTTTCTGTATTGGTCAATGATTGATAAAGGACAAACGTCACAATAGTTATAAACACACAAGTAACTGAAATGTTATCCAGTGAGGCTAAATATCACTGAAGGCTTCCCCCCCATCATTATGATAGAGAGTGTAATCTTAAGATTGTCAGCATACGTACATAACTGTTGCACAAAATCTTCTACAAGTGAATGAGTCAGGGAAAGACAAAACGAAAAATACAAATCTAAAACCTGAAAAAACAGGTGTGTGTGTGTGTGTATTAAACAGCAAATTCACACAAGCTCCCACGCAACCGTCAATCAGCCATGTTTTTGTTTGTTCTTAAAACACTTGTAACAAGTATAAACTTAGAAAGTCATGTTGAACTTTCAGGCCTTCTCAATTGTCTTCTCAGCTGTTTTGTGTGAGCAGGGGCCTTATACATTGATAGCGCTGCATGTAAAACTATAGTTGCCTTTTATGTGAATATAGTTGTCGTTTTTAAAGTGGAAGTGGACTCAGTTCACAGTGAAGTGTAAAACATTTCTAGTAAAGCAGTATTTAATATCCAATAGAAGTGCAAAGCTGAAAGGAAGTTGGCAAAAGGCTCCCATGATTATTGTTGCAGTTGCTCAGTAATTCATGTAAAATGGGTGCCACTCGATTAAAAATCAGTTTTATGTTCACCCTGTGAAAAATTTTCCAAGCTAAAGGTCCACAGATTACACAGAAGTGGGCTGAAATTCTGTACTTCTTAATTTGTTTCCAGGATTTTTGAGCGCTTAAGGCTGAGGGAGTAGAGAACTTTTTTCCAAGTATGATTTAATATATTGGGTCATTCTTTTATTAAATCTTAGTCTTATTAGGTTGAATGTGTCCTGGAGGGTAAAATCACATTTGCAAATATTGTCAATTTTCCATCAGTTTCAGACCACATATATATATAAATTCTTTCTCAAAAGAAGTAAAGAAAAGATATATGAACTGCAGCTGGTAACTAACTAGTGTTAGCTAGATTCTGTCTCATAAATGAGTAATTCATTTTAGTGTAAACTTTCTAGAAAAGTAGTGACAAAGCAGTGGTTAGGTTAACATAACATCTTGGAATATGAGTATAATTAAATCCATTTCCGGTGTCAGTTAAAATGATCCAAAACTGAAAGATATTTTGCACATCTGCCTTATAAGATAATTGCTTAAGAGGGATAAATGACAGGCTGTGAGAGGGAGACTTGGGAATCGGTAATGAAATAATTTTGTTTACATCATTGTAAAATAATTTTATGTTGTAATAATAAATCTATTTTCTTAATTTCCTCAGTACCAAAACTAGGGATGTTTCTGGCGACTAATAGACCTTTTCCACTAGTGCCTAGTACCTGCTTGGCTCGACTCAACTCCATTTTGTAGGGTTTTCCAGTATGTGGTAGTACCTCGCACCAGATACCTACTTGGCCAAGGTTCCAAGTGATCTGAAATAATCCAAAAATGTGAGGTCAACAGACTCCATGCCACTGATTGGCCAGTTATTGTTGTCACTCAGTGAATCATGAGAGCAGCTCCTTCACAAAAAATCAAAACCACAATTTTTTTGAAACCTAGCAACAAGGGAAATGGCTACACAAAAAACAACATCAGTGTTCGTAGAATTTAGCTAACTAAACGTAGCAGTGCTAGCAGCAGCAGTGGCCTTCTTTTATCCTAGCATTCACACCCTGACAAACGGCCACTTGTTTTTTTTGGGGGGGTGACAGCCATGCTAGCCGGCTGTCATCTGTTTACTTTTCCCCTTGCTTGTTTGCAACTTCCCTTCAAAGAAAAATTAACAGACAGAAAGGGGGTGGCATCTGTCTGTCAGAGCTGCAGCCCAGGTTAGTGGCCATTGGGGTCATAACATCTTTGAATCTCTAACTGCTTTTTTACATTAGGTCCTTGCCCTTTAGAGACAGTATCTGAATACCTCTCCTGTATCCTTAATGACATGTTTTGACACATCACTAGATGTGGTTCAACTAATTCTGACATCCTTAATTCTGACATTAGAATACCAAATATCAAACTAGCAGAGGTATTTACCAGCATTTTTAACAAATCTTTATTAAATGCTGTTACTGAAAAATTTCTTTGCAACTGTAAGGATCTTAGACTTCCATCTGGCCACACCCCTCAACTGAGAAATGGACTCAACCCTGAGCAATAAACTCCTGAATCAATCCATTAAGCCACTACAGACTATTCATAGTCTCTAACACTGGAACACCCCATTAGATGGCAAAGGAGCTTTTTTTTTTTTTAACCAACTTTGTTTAGTTAGGGTGACAGATACTTGTTAAATTGGATGCATTAATGACTAGCCCCTCTGTTTGTTCACAAATGCTAGCAAAGTGTAGTACAGGCAGACTCCTGAACACTGTCTGCCTTGCAGAAAATTAACTGCTGGGTTGGGTTTAGAAGTAGGTATCAGTTTAAATAACTTGAAATGAGAAATTGTTTGCTTAACACTAACGCTTCATTCAAGTTTCTGTGAATCAGGGCGTTCAGGACAGTCCACTCAGGGATCCTTTAAACATGGCACCCCGAGCTCCCAAAGACAGGTTCCAGAACCGTGTTTCACCTAGAAACAATATAAGAATAAGATAAAATTGTAAGAATAAGAATATTGTTTCCATAACACTACAAAAAACACTAAAATTGTAATTCTCAAACTGTGACTATGATCCTAATCTAATATGAGGTATAATAAATAAAGCAACTGCTGCATCTCCTGACTCTGGTCACTTGGTGAAGTTGAGTAGTTGCCATTATTGCACATTAATATAATTGTTTTGAATCTTCAAGCATTCCTGTGTTGAGAGTTGTCTGAATCTAAAATGAATCACACTGAGCAAACCCTGTTTTGTGGCATCTCTCCAACTAAATATACAAGTCTGAACTAAGTGAAGTTGATACACATAAGACGCCAAAAGGAACCCCCCCCCCCCCAACCTGCATGCGCTATAATTTACTTTGCCCGATTCCTTCAGTCCTGAGTGTTCATTATTCTGGTCTAGGTGCTGGGAAATTTTGCTATTTTGTTACTGTGTTCAATGCTGTAAATGCCCAATTGAAAAACATGGACCTTATGCAAAACTTAAGGGAGGTTGGGTCATGTGATTGCTTGAATGACAAAGATGCTGCAGTTTGGTGTTTTTCTTTTTTGTTACTGTGTACAAGCTGAGTATTTAGATGTCTTTTTCTTCTGTTGGATATAGTGGCTTGAATGCATCCTTTTTAGATGTTTTTTATCTCTTTTTCTTTTTACTGCCGCTACATTGAGAATGTTTTATGGCACGCAGTATTATCACATCTCATTTGATATGCCAGCCGTAAAGGTTGTTGACGTCTTAGTGTAATCATGTGGAGCAACAGTTTTGGTTTGAAGGTGGGTGGTAGGGTCATTTAATTTTAGACTGGTTCACGTGGGAGGGGTTAGCCCTTAGTAATTATGGTGTGGTATGGGTGTGTTTATTACCGGGCAATAATAAACCCTGTCTTTTGCATCTACCACTACCCCATTGTCCATGCACATCCACAGCGCCTAAGTCATGCTGCATCTGCTAATGCAATCAACTTTTTAGGGGCCAATATGGGGTTTTCTTTAGTGTTTGTTATCGTCAGACTCGAGATCGTGTCCAAGAGGCTGTCAACAGTGGATCATTTTTATCCTTTTAATCACAACACAACAAATTTCTTAACTGCACACATTAGGTTCACTAAAATGACTGAAGTTATAAAATCTGAACACTTGTCTCCTAAATTCAGGTGACCTCGCAGCCTTATAATTTTAGGTGTTGGTGCACATCAGTACAAAGAGTTTCTGAGGAATCACTTTTATCTTACAATGAAATATTTTCATCCTGATTTGAGTCCCTCCGAGGGCGACAGTGCACAAGGTGGGGGAGTCACTAAGTGGTTGATGAAAATTACATTGTCAGACACTAGATCTCAACCCAACTGAAGTCCTATTGGAGATTTTGGAGTTGCATATTCAACAGTACTGTACACCATCATCAAAACGCCAAATGGGGGAATATGTATTAGTTTCAGAGACCTACAAAATCTCTGCCAAGGCACATTACAACTGGCAGCACTTTGCGGCTCATAACCTAAGATATGGGGTGCCATGTA